AAAGCACCAGCAGACAACAGGGAATACTTTGGAAGCAACTCCGTGTAATCCGGCCCCACCAATCCCACCGGATTTCTGATGCACACTGACAGAAGGGTGTTTTGGGCCTGGATACAACCAGAAGAAACCTCAGAAAATCTCTGGGTTTCAAGGATTACACATTTGCAGCTTAAAGAAATTTAAATCTCCCTGGAAACTATTCACCCAAGAAAACTTCCCCACAGTAATACCTTCTTTCGACATCAAAACAGCTTGAAAATAAAAGTTTGCCAAGCTGGAGCAGGAGTGGAAAAGGGATGAAGCTGGCAAAAGATCATTAAAAAGATATTTTAAAAATGTTTTTCCAGATCTTTGATTTTTTATTTCCACGCCTGGAAGCATTTACTAAGCTCTTTAGCTGGTGAGCAAAAAAAAATGGGAAAGTCACTCCCAGGATCTGCGAGAGAAAAAGGGCTCTTTCTGTAGGTTTCAAAATGTCCCTGGGATTTTGAGGCTGGAAAAGTTTTCTGAGGGCACTTCTTCCGAAGGACTTTCCAAGGACACGCAGTATACTGCAAAAAAATCTCACAGAGGGCTACAGAATTCCTGTTAAAGAGAGAGAAAAGCTATTTCCACACAGACAGAGCCAAAATATTGAAATTTGACATTTCAATAAATATATTTTTGGTCTATTTTGACAGAGTACAGAGGGCTGAGAGTACTGGGACCCCAGAGCAGCCCAATGCAAGGCAGCACCTGTGTAAAGGTCCTCTACATATTCCATTTGTCAGGTTAGAAATGAAACCATTGGTTCATTGACAGGGAATCGCCTGCTTTGCAATTTTCCCTCCGATAAAACAACAACAACAACAACAAAAAAACCCTCCAAGGAGAACACTTTCTCTTTTTTAATCGTATCCAGGCCTGTTTCCTGTAATGAAGAACTCCTTTTCCAGCCCCAAGAGAGCGGTCCTTTGACTGTCACTCTCAGACAGTGAGATAAAAATCTCTATTTGCAGAAAACGACTCCGACTGCCATTTGTGGCTTGAAACGCTTCCCAATTTACTTACTTCTGGAGGCTGTTTACATTTTCAGACAGCCCAGCTCACTCATCCCCAACAAGCTCAGTTTATTGCCGTAAAAAATGCAGCTCTGTGCCAGCCCTGGGAGAGACTTCGGACCTAAGGACACCGAGAGGCTTTGGGGATCAAGTCGCCTGTGCGAAAAAATGGGGGGAAAAAAAATAAATCCTACTTTCTGGTGAATTGCATCACTGACCAGCAGCACTAGGGCTGAACCTGAAACTGCCATTCCTTCCCCGGAAAGCTGCAGGACCCCCGGATCAGCATGGAGAGGGAGAGGAGGGAGAGGAGGGCGAGGAACACCCTTAATTTGGCTGAAGAACAACTGGTTTTCTTCTCAACATAATGAGCTCCTCCAGCAGACCCTTCTGCTCCGAGTCAAGGAGGTTGGAGCACACTCAGAGCAATTCAGAAGTGACACATCAACCCCTCTCATCCAATGCATCAAACTCTGAGGGCTCATTTGTTCGTTCTTGCCAATATTAAAGACTAATTTTGATTTAGACTAAGAGCCTTTTCCATCCCTGGGGAGGGAGCTGTGGCAACACGAGAGAGTATTCAATTAGTTGTCTTCTCTAAATTACTCATGGAAAGGAGTGTGTCCACGTGGACAGAGCATGGATTAGCAGAGTTCTATGTGGAAGGGACTGCATGGCATAATATAATAAATACAATATAAAATTTGTCCAGGGGTTGGACTTGGATGATCCTTTTGAGTTCCTTCCAACTCAGAATATTCTCTGTTTCTATATTATTGTAATTAAACATCAGTAACAATTTCAGCTTTGCATAAGTCTTTTTTACCTTAGCAATGCTGCTGAGTCACTTTTTCATCCTTCATCTTATTAGGAAAAAAAAAAGGAAGCAGCAGGTGGTATCTGAGTAGAAATCATTTCATATTAAGCTCCATATTCAATATTTAGTCATTGTCTTTCTTTGTCACCTTCTCCCAATCTTCAGCACCCAAAGTGTTCAATTCAATAGAATGGACTTTTTCTGCTTTTGCCTTTTTTTTTTTTTTTAAGAAAATCTTCAAAATTAAGGCATTAGCTGGTGCAGAAAATAGGAAAAACAACTATCACAAAAGTTAAAAAACCATTTTGGACAATTTTTTTGTAGCTCTTTGGGTTGTTTACACTGATGGATTATTTCAGATTTCCAGGATGGAACTTCTGGTTGATGCAGAGCTGGAATTTAAATCTGCATCCCCCACCTGGAGATTATGTGTTCCACCACCTGCAAGGGCCAAACATTTGGAGAATCATCATTAGAATAATAGAATCCCAGAATGCTTTGGGTTGGAAGGGACTTTAACCATCCAGTTCCCTCTCCCGCCAAGGGCAGGGACACCTTCCACTATCCCAGGTTGCTCCAAGTCCTGTCCAACCTGGCCTGGAACACTTCCAGGGATGGGGCAGCCACAGTTTCTCCAGGCAACCTGTGCCAGGGCCTCACCACCCCCACTGCCAAGAATTTCTTCCCAATATCCCATCTAACCTTGCCCTCTGTCACTTTGAAACCATTCCCCCCTTGTCCTGTCACTCCAGGCTCTTGTTCAAAGTCCCTCTCCAGCTCTCTTGGAGCCCCTTTAGGCACTGGGAGCTGTAAGGAATCAGAAAAGAAACTGGAAGAAAAGACCTGGAGCTCCTGGCAGATGACCAGCTCTCTCCAGCAGAAGTTGGGTACAGCTTTCAGTGACCTGCACACCTCTCTCACACAGCCAGCCAGGCATGAACCTTACTGGCAAATTCTCAGGTTTTAGGAGCCTGGACATAATGGTAGAGGGAATAAAGCATGAAGGATTTTCAAAATCCACAGGTTTCCCTGTATGCTTTTAAGAGAGAGTTCTCAACTCTTGCTTACTGCAACTGAAACAATGACCCCTCCCCATTCCTTACCTTCCAGGAGAGTCCAGAGTCACCGAGTTAGTCATGACTTAATGGTCATGATAAAAGGACCCATTTTAGTTCAGCTGTGACACTGATGTTCACATAAATGATGTTCAAGGTGCTCCCAACACAGGCACAGAAATGATTCAATCAAGTAGCAATAAACAATTTTCTCCTGTAAAATTTTTTTCACCTTTCCTAATCATAGAATCCTGGAATGGTTTGGGGTGGAAGGGACCTTAAAGACCATCTCATTCCAAGCCCCTGCCATGGGCAGGGGCACCTTGCACTTAACCAAGTTGCTCCAGCCTGACCTTGAGCAAAAGTGTATTTGTATTTTGCAGACAAAGCAAAACAATCATTAGAACATTCCCATTCAAAAGGAAATAGATAAACAACTTAACCATTTATTTGACTGCATTGTATTTAGACAACTTGTACATTTCATAACCCCACTGTTTTTGTTCTCATCAAAAAGGATAAAGGGACAGAAGAATATAATCCACTCAAAACAGCAGTCCAGTATTTTGAGATACACTTGCTCTTCTCGTAGATGCCCACCCGATACCTGAACTCCAATATAGCTTGTAAGGTTTATACAAGACCTGAATTTTTTCCAACACAGCACTGAGTTGTAGCAACGTCTTGCAGTGCCCTGAAAAATAGTTTGTGACGTACGATGTGACGCCAATTCCGTGATGCCTTGAAGGTGATGAACCTGATTTCTTAAAGAAAAACAACATAATGCAAACATCCAGACTGACATGTCAGCCAGTAGCAACATTTGGGCAAATTTAAATATAAAAGCAATCAACTCCTTCGTTAAGATTTGTCAATGCAAAAGGCGAGGGGGGGAGAGGACTGTGTTTTAGCAACAGACAGGAGAAATAACCAACTTTTCCTTGCTAGATTCCTTTTGAAAAGCTGTTTGCAAATTCAGGACTTCCCACTTGATATCCCAATCCCAAGCAACACAGAGAACAGATCTGTTTAGTACGACCCAACACATGCAGCTCCAGTGTCTTCGGCGGTGAACTGTGTGTGACACAGCAGCGATGGCAGAACCTTTCAGGCCACGTGCCCTTTGGAAAAAGAAGGGGAGACCTGCACCTGTTTTGCGCAGTATTTTCAAAACATGCATGGCAACAGCTACTTCTTACAATAAACAACCAGAATTGTATTTGAAGTTTGCTCAGGGAGGATGGTTTTGGCAGCAAGAAGCGATTTCAGTTCACTTCTAAGCCGGCTTTTGAACGTGAAGACACCCACGGCTTAAATATTAACCAACAGAAAAACTTGCCTGTCTGGCTTTTCGGATTTAAACATCAGCAGACACACAGGACAGTCCAGTTTGGAATCTCTGATACAAGTCCAACAGATGCTTGAAAGGGATGAAACCTCCCTCATCTGTCTCCTCAGCTCAAGCCACCCAGAGCTGTCGCTACATCCCGGACCACGGCTGAGAGAAACCTGACTCAACTGATTCCTTACCAACGTTTAAGTCCTAACAATGATGAAAACTCCAGAAAAACTGGCAAACCAGAGGGATGGGGGTAATAAAAGGTTTTTATCATGTCACAAGGCAGCAGTGGCAACACACAGGCTTTATGTTGACATGTCCTGGGAGTGACAGACTCCACTTTACCACTCTTGGTTCTGGGCACCCTTTTAAACATGAGTTTTCTTTACTGAGGGGAACAAGCCTCCTCGAAAGCACAGATGGTGTCTACAAGCAGAAAACTCAGAAGGGCCAATTTCCATTAAAAATCTTTATTTTCAAATACAACTCATGATTTGTACATGGTAAGAAACGTCCATCACCATGTGCGATTGGTCTGTGCAAAAGGCGGCTTTGCTTTAAATCCAGTTTTTCCTGCACAGGGCTCTTTTTCCAAATGTTACTGGAGGTAGGGGTTTTGTTGGTTTTGTTTTTTAAGCGTACAGTAATTAGCAAAAAGGAGAAAAAAAAAAAAAAAAAAAGAAAACAACCCCGTGACTCAAACCAAATCCTAAAGGTAAAAACAAAAAAGTGTAGTAAGGCAAAGCTGAAGAGTTCACTCGACTCCAGAGGATTCACTGAGAGTTCATCCTTTCCATCCCTGCACGGGCCATTCCCTTAAGAGTTGGAATCCATGATCCTTGTGGGTCCCTTCCAACTCAGAATATCCTGTGATATCTGTGATTACAGAGGTGTTTCCGTAAGTCAACTAATACCTTGGGAAAAAAAAAAAAAAAAAACCAAAAAAAAACCCGACCCAACTGATTCATAGAGTTGGGCTGTGGAATCACATGGAACATGAAAGCCTGGACACCTAATTACTGAAAAAAACTGATGGGTGTTATAAAACTTCTGTGGGCCCAATTAAAGAGAGGGGGGGGGGGAAAAATATAGAGAAAAAAACAGAGCAAGAGCAAATGGGAGAAAGAAAGAAAGGGAGACAGAATTCCTTCCCCGCTGCTTTGATTTTTGGAGGGGAAAAAAAATCCCCCAATAATTTAGCTCATGTAAGTTTAGAGAAAATGAGAGCAGCTAAAAATGCATACGATACACCTTGAAATTTATTTCCAAGACCAAGAACCAAAGATTGAAGCATTTTAGAACACTGAAGCAAAGCAATCTGAATCTGAAAAGAAAAAAAAATTTGTTCTATCTTAAAATAGCTGTTTTTCAGAGCTTCTAGCAATAATTTCGATTAAATAAAAATCATACCAATTTACATTAATTTTCTATATCTTCTTTTAAAAGTCCCTCACTCTTTTAATGAAAAAAGTGCATCCAAACCCAGCAGAGACTCACTGGTGCCATCAGGTTCTCTTTTAGCAGCTACCCAAGGTTTTCAAAATAGCTCATACTTCTTGCTAGAAGAAGGGCCTTCCAAACCCTCGTTTGGGAGAAGTATCCAAATTATAAAAATCTGAAATAATTTATTATCAAATCCAGAATTTAAATAAAAGCAGAATTTGTTTGTTTTTTTATCTCCTTGCAAAGACAATTGAAGAAAGCAAAAGAATAAAAGCATGCACTCCAAACTTAGAGGTGAAGACAAATATACTTATCTATACAGGCACTGGCAGACGCAATTTAATGGTTACTGTTACTCATTGTAACACACACCCCACCCTACAATACATTTTTTCATTCACTAATCACTGAGGTACCAATATTTAAGAATGGAAAAAATTCAATATTGAAAAATAAAACCTAAAATTGAAGCCTTTTTTTTTTTCTTCTTCTTCTTCTTCCCCAGAAAACTATGGCAATTTCAGTATGAAATGTTAGTATACTTGTAGAATTTTACAATCTACGTTGGCTTTTTTTTTTTTGTGTGTGTGTGTGTGTGTGTGTGGTTTGTGGGTTTTTTGTTTTTCCTTTTTTTTTTTTTTTTTTTTTTTTAAATTTTCTGGAACCAAAAGTGGCTTTCCCATACAGGTTCTGTGTATGTCAAGACAGTCAGTTAATTGCAAATGAATGAACATTATCTTGGCTATCGACTGGCACATCTCTGGCTGGTACCAAAAGGACTCGGGAGTCGGAAAGAACCGGCTTTAATTCGGAACAAACGCGCCATGCCAAAGTGCAACGAAAATGTGCGACACTCAATGGGGACACTGACAGGTTTTTCTTAAGAGCTGCATGGGAATCACTAAGTCCACCTGCAAAGCAATTTTGGGAACAAATTGCTTGGCATGCAAAGGCCGACTCTGCGCTGCCGGGGCCGGCGGTCGCTCCCGTGGGATGGGCTCTCCTAACGCAGCCATAGTTTCAGACGCAGTGCATCAACTCCGTTTAAATAGTATCTGAACAGCCTCTTGTCTCGCACAAAACCAAGGTTTTCATAAAGTTTCAAAGCAGACTTATTTGTGATTTCTGTTTCCAATACAACCTTGAAGGGGAAAGAAAGAAAAAAAAGCAGCGTTAGCTGAGTAGGTCGTGTTAGTTCAGTAAGCAAATGCAAACACGTGACTACTGAACCCATTTCAAAGGTTTTATTTAAAGGTACCTTTATGAGCAATGAGTGGAATTAATTCCTTCTTATACTCTTACTTAATGAAGCAATATTTCCACATTAAGCTTCCCAACCCCACACTGGAGCTTCCCACTCCCACATTTTAAAAGCCAGCAGTTAAACAACAACTGTAATTGTAAACAACATGTCGAGATTTTAGTTCCTGGCTGCAAATAGAGTTTCAACTCACCACCTAATAACTGGGGTAAAGAACACATCAACAAATAAATCCCAAACATCCCCCATCTCCCAACATTCCCCCTCTCAAAAAAAACCCACCCAAAATCCAAGCAACCACGGGTGAATGAGCAACCGAACCTCCGCATGTTACAAGAACTTGGCATAGGAGGATTTGTTTATTTATTTAATATCTTTGACCTCTAAATTGTTAGATTTAGATAAAAGCTTCAGATTGATACCAGCTGTCAGATCCAATGTTTGCAAGGAGTACTTGCTCTCAACACAAGTATCACAGAATGGTCTGTGTTGGAAGGGACCTTAAAGATCATCCCATTCCAACCCCCTGCCATGGGCAGGGACACCTTCACTAGACCAGGTTGCTCAGGGTCCCATCCAACCTGGGTACCAGCAAATACCCTAAACAAATCAGAGTGCACACCAGGAAGAAAGAGCATCTTTTCCCATCTTTTTCCACCCTGTGTTGTGAGATCCCGGTTGCAAGAACATCTGTCAGTAATAACTCAGAACAAAACCAAGCAGAAGTGTAGCCCAAATTAAGCAAAGACCTGAAATTGCCCCAGAAGTCTCAAATGCAGGTAAAAACTACACTGGCATTAACAAGAAGTTATTTAATAAACTCAAGTATCTCCCTCTGAATTTTCTCCCTCTTTCCTCCACGTGCACTGGACAGAGCTCTGCCACAACTAGTGATCCCAAACCCACTCCACACAATCAAAACTTGCTCTGCCTCTTTACTGCTGTCCAGCTCATCTCTTTAAGGATTCTGCTCCTAAGGACAGGTCCTGGTTGCACGAGAACACAGGCTGAACTAATAATGTGACTCAATTCCATGGCAATGAACATCCACACATTACACAGGAGCTGATGGTCACTGTAGAGAGAGCACAGAATGGAAATACAGGACCACAATTTCAGCCTGGTCAATCTACTTTCTGGCCTCTGTGTCCCCCACTGCCTCCAGGCACACATTCCCATTCCCCCTCATGTCTCCTGCCAGCTCTCCAGGCTGGTTGCTGAGCTCCTTCCAAAGCCACCTGGCACAAAACCTTTCCTTTTTCTCTCCATGGGGTTTGTTTTCTGCAGCCCGAGATGCAGCTACACCGGTGGGAAAGAGGGAGGCAGGCGGTGCCTACACTGGTCACCTCCACTGAGATTTGAAAATCCATTTGATGTATATATTTGACTCAGGTTTCAAGCCGCTCTAACCACATTCCAATGGATTATTCCACCTGTGCTTCTCAGTGTGAGGATGTTGAAAGAACAATAAACAACCCACTGAACAATGTAAGACTTGGAAGTAGTTCGTTTTACAAAAAGGAACTAAAGAGTCACACATTAAAATATTAATCATCAGAGTTCTTAAATTACAGCAGGGCAGAGTTGTACACTTAAGACAACCTAATTCAATTCTTAGTCTTGTGGCAAGAATAAGAGATTGAATTTCTCTAGCTGGCACTTCACAGAGCACTACTATCAAGTCTTGTGACTTGATGGAGTACTCACCATCCTTATCCATTAAAGTGGATAATAACTATTCATTTATAACTAATAGTGGAAGCACAATAATTTTCCTGGAGAGTGCTATTTTCTACACATTGTACGGCCCCTTAATTCAAATTAAAAACAGAATATTAATGCCGGAGAGGAAATCTGACCCACGTAAATCCACCATGCAGAGGATTATTGGAATTCTTAGCTACAAATGGCATTCACTCTCCAAAGTTTAGTCACCTGGCACAGTGATATAACCAATCTCTATTCAACTGCAAGCTCCAACACCTTGCAATGCTAAAACCCTTCCAACACTGCAGGTGATTGAACTGAAGGGAGTGGTTAAATGTTGAAATACAGGTTTGTTGGAATCCCACTACCTGAGTGAATGCTCATCTTGAAAGCAAATGCAGGAGATTTGCTCTGGTATTTCTAAGGAAATCTCAGCACAATGAAAAGTAATTCCCTGATCTCAACATGCTGCAGCTAAAGACAGGTTTCTATTACCTAAATGGGAAACACAGGCATATTTTATTCAAATTTCATTAGCTTTGTTTGGTGAAGAATGCACCTCTTCCTGTGTGAGATTTTCAATCAAGCTCCAAACCTTCAATCACTACATTTATTTCTGCTCTTCTGGGGTCGATTCTGTTGTACTCATATGCCTGTTAAATCTCTGATAGCACAATCACATCCCCCCCTGGAGAGCAGCAAAGGACTGCATTTAACAGCATTTTCTGCTCAAGTTGCAACTTTCTGAAGGTTGTTACTTTCTCTTTTATCTTAAATTTCATAAACCTTTTAGCTCAACTGTCTAATTTTAACTGGGTTTAGAGGCAAGAGATGTTCTATACTGAGAGTAGAGTGCAATGTTCCTTGTTACTACACTTTCATAGCTTGAATTTATTCCTAAGCTGAAGATAAGTGGAGTGGTGAAGCTTTCTTGCTTCTTCAGTTCAAACTGTGAATGAACTCAAGTTTAAAAACCAAGGCATGGAAAGGATACAGCCAAACCAAATAAGCAAATGAAGGAAGTGCTCCCAGCACTCCCTATTCTTACTTTCAAGTCTGACATATCATCTAGACTCAAGTTACAGGGGTTTGTCAAGTGTCCTTAATCAATTTAAAACTGCCTTAACTTTTAAAGAAAGGCAGTACCCAAAATATAACACTTCATACTTTAGATGATTTATAGATTAAGGAAAAACTAAAATATTAATAATGTAATGATTTCAAATAGGATTCTATAAAAACACACATTTAATTTTTACTAGTGTGGTACTGAATTAGAAAAGACACCAGTGTCAACATGTCACCGGTGTGGTCAAAAAAACATCACTTCAAATCAACCTAAAGTTTCCACAGGAATTCAGAATTCCTTTTTTTTTTTTAAGGAAAATGTAGAGCATGAAAAAAAAAAAAAAAGCTTTTAGGAGTCCCCCTTACAAGGGTCTTACTTTTTATTAGTTACCAGTTGCATGGTACATTATTTCAGTAATATGAGGTGAGTGAATTGTATGCAGATTAGTCTGTCATTTGTTACAGATGGAAAACCTACATATGAATGAACAATTCCTCCTTTCTAACCGTAATTAAGGGATGTAACAATTCCACAGGAAGGTCTTCAGCAGCACAGTTTTGGAAAATTGCCTGTCAGTAAAAAACTAAGCAAATGTACAAAAAGCAGGCAGACAGCACCTTGGTGCAGTCAACACATGTTTTCCCTTTTTTAAACTGGGAGAAAAATCTTTTCACAGCTTTGGGGCTGGGAGCAAAACTATTCCCCTTCACCTGATTGACTTCCATAGTTCACCTTTCCTATGCAACCAGCCTGTGGTTATCCTAGATCACTGTGGCCTATTGGAAACTCAGGGTGTTGAGAGTTCACCACCTCAAATATTAGAAATCATTAACATCAAATGCCTGAGAAAAATCACAAAGGCAAAAAAAAAAAAAACCCAACCCCAAAGATCTCTAAGTTTTGTTTGTAGTGTTATATCCAGACACTCCAGCTCAAAGCAGGCTGTACTTTCTTCAGGCTTGAAGGTTATTTCTAGTTCACCCACCCACCCCCAACCTCAGATCACTTCCCTGGTTTCTATTCTAATGTAGGCCAGGGGCAGCTCCATGGGCAGCTCCTCCCCTCCACACAGATTCCATTTCAGCCAATTCACCTCCTCACTTACTCACCCCACTCAGAGAAACCACCCCTGTGGAAGGATATTGCCTCAGCTTTGAGGGATGGAATCCAGCACAAACTGCCTCTCAGGCACTGCCTGACCACAGCAGCTCACACTGTAAATCACTTGTTCCATGGGCCTGGCTTAGTTTATTCCCAGTAAAATTGCTTACAGGAAAAAAAAAAAAAACAAAACACCATATGTCCTTAATTGCTAAAATATTGGAATATCACTCAAGTCTTTGAAATGACAAATCACTACTGATGTGTGGCAAGATTTTAATCCATGGTGTTGTATAAATCCTTTATTTTTTCAAGACTCAGTGTTGATACCTCAAAAGTCCAATTTATGATACTCTGAAGAGTAACACACTGAACATTTATCAGATTCTACAGCATAAGTTATTAAAATTAAGTCTATTTACTGCATCTATTCCATAATTAGATTGAAGGGAAGAGTTTCCAAGCAGCCTTTGGAAATCTTTCATGACACCCACAGCTGCATATTTATGTTTTTAATCCTATTCCAAGCAGGTTTCAGAAAATAGCTTTTTTATTTTGAACTCCAGTTCATCTTATCTCAAGTAGCAGCGTCTTTTTATTTTCACCATGCTTCTGATTTCATTAAAAGATGTAAGAAAATACCTTAAGAGCAGCAGGGATGATTAAACTATTTACACACCTCACAGAGACAAATTACTGTGATGCACAACTTCATGTTTGATCAGCTTTAAGCATCAATTAGCTAGAAATTGAACTCCTGAAAATTGTTGTAAAAACTGGTGAAGGGAAGAGTTGGACAGAGATTTTTAATGGGTGGCTTGTTGGATTTTTCAGATTGTGGTCATGACTGAAAACTCAAGTGGTACAAGCAACCACCATCATTATTTTGCACCATGTGTATGTGGAGGAAGCCCATACTTGGTGGCAAATTTAAAAAAACAAACCATGAAAACATTGGTTGTTTGGCTGTGGATAACCTGTATGTGGAAAAGAACAACACAGATATAATAAATCAGTGTGGATGTGCCTCTGTTGGTGGTGTAGAACATCAATAAAATCCTCTGCCTGCACTCCACACTCCAAAATTTAGTTCAAAATTCTGCACCAGCACAAGACTCAGCTGACGCAGAAGCCCCCAAAAAGCAGGACATGAGTTTGTAATCATCTTCCCACAAACAGGGTTACAGATTCCAAACTGGAACTGAACCATGACTGCACCCACAGCATACACTTCAAGGAGTTTGAATTGTAGGGCCTTCAATTAAAGGGGACATGAACACTATCTGAGAAATGCCCTCTGCCCCTAACCCAGAGCATTTATACAGCACCAGAGATGAAAATCTGTGACTAAGACTTAATGAGGCCTCACTGCAGACCAGCCTGCAACCCTTAGCACATTTACTGTATTTTTATGAAGATAAAAGCAGCTTAGAAATGAAGGTACATGAGAAGTAGCACACACAAATTCAGAAATCAGACAGTAATTACTGCAACTCAGAGCTTGAGCAGAAACAGCCAGCTCTACTCCTGACTCTCTAACAACAGTGGGCAATTCACTTCTCTGCATCTCAATTTTCCAGCTGTGATGTGGACACTAGTCCTCAGTTATTTAGCAATTTTTTTAAATCTTGAATGCTCTAGCAGCAGCAAATCAACTCAAAACAACAGTGGAAAGCAACGGGGAAAACAAGCAAACCAACCTTTTTTTGATTAGTTCACTGTAGTAAGTAGTAAAAGAGGTTAGAGGAAGTGTTACATAGCATGAGAGAAGCAACAAGCCAAAACAAAGAACTTTAAAGAATTACAGGCTGAACTGCATTGCCCCAGCACAACATCAATTAGACAGGGGGAAAAAAAAAGACATCAGTAAGTAGAGTCATGAAGGAATCTGAGGGGAAGAATAAATAATCACAATGAATGAAGTCAGAACACATCCAGGGATGCTACAAGAGGCAACAAGTGGAAAAACAAACAGCAGTATGTGCCCAGAAGTCCTGTGACACAAATTGTAGCTTTGCATAAGAAACTTCACCACAGGGCAGGGGGACAATTGAGGGAGCAGTTTGAAAGGAGATAACAGAGAGATCAAAGGCTCCTTAACTGTGACACACTGAAACGACCCAGTGCTCACCGGTCAGGAACAAGCCAACAATTGCATTGTGCCGAGGAGATGGGAGTCAAAGGGACAGATAACCTGATTAAGGAGGATGGATGTAGGGAGAGCTCCTCACAAGTGAAACATGGTGCATAGAGACAGACAGTTTCTTTATACATATATATATATAGAGAGAGAGAGAGAGAGAAAAAGAGTAGGGACTGTAATGTGGTAAAAGACTAACAACATTTAGGCCAGGGAAAGTTTGACAGTCACTTTCCTTCCAAGTTTTTGTTGACATGCTAAATCACTCCAGCTCTGTTTGTGCTACCTAATAAGCTGTGCAGTGTCAGAACAGCCCGATGACTGGGATCAAACCACACTGCAGCACCACAGCACACACTGTTCCAGGGGCAGGACTACACACAGCACCACGTTACACTGCTCAGCAGCTCCTTAAACTGGAGCCCGTGGAGGAAAATGTGCCTGGGAGGGAAGGTTGAGGCAGCTTCACAGAGTAAAACAAAACCTGAAACGCTGAATTCCAGCACTTATGATAAATTTAGAAAATCCATCTCCTATTTGTGCCATTCCTTTTTTCTTTTATTCTAAGGAACTTCTTACCAAGTTTGCCACCTTTTATTATAAAGGACTTCTTATCATTTCTCACCTAAAAAAAGTCCTGTGGAAGAAAAACCTGTGAAACCCATCCACACATAGGAGAATGCAAACCATTTACATTATGAAAGTTTCTGATTTAGAAAATCTTACCTCGTCACAATCTCCTTCAACCATAGCATAAATAGCTTTCTTAACCAAGTTTGTACCTGAAATACAGATTTCAGTAAGTGTCAGAGTTGCAGTGCAATAAAAATGCTGGTTTATATATGACTAGTGTGTGCTACCCTACATGGCATGACACCTGGGGAAGGCAGGGAGGAAAAAGAAGAACACAAGAAGTTGCAGTCAAGCTGCAGCCTCGGAGTCTGAACAATAAAATAATCCTTGAAGTTATCCAGAGACTCAGCTTAAGTGCAAGATTCTTCTAACACGAGGATATTAGAAACAGGCTGCTATGCTTAACACAGTGTTATATATAGCCTTCCAAGATGTGATTCATTCCTTTTTGTTGCATTTAAAGGCAAAATCTGCTGGCGTGTAGTTGAAGGACATTCATCTTCCGAGGGAATTTCCTCTTACTAAAACAAATACTTCTATTAGTAACAGAACTTATGAAACCACTTTTCTTGTGGCTCACTCCCCTCTGGATTTGCTAGGATCTAATAATACTGTTGAAGCCCATCCCTTCCCCTCAGTCAGGCATTAATTTAATTTTTTCTATCATTATTTTTCATCTATTTCACAACAGTTCTACAGATGTAATATCCCTACCTGTCTGTAGAATTGGGGTGAAATTGAAAGTTGATTTCAAAGTTATTAGTGGAAAATACTGCTGTTCAATGAAATTGCATAAATCTCACTTCCATAAGAAGGCTAAGGAAAAGGAAAAAAAAACCCCAAGGAATCTAGGGAATGTTGGAAAGTATTCTCAAAACTTTAATCAATTAAGATTTTTCATTGAACATATGATAAAACTGTACTACATTTAAAGTAGATCTTCAGATTAGCAGCACACTTTGAGAAACAGCAAGGTGGCAAATGTAGGAAAAAGTCAACATATATAATGCTAAAGTAAGCAAGGCTTTAAAGATAAATTCTATTTATACAATTCTAACATAACCAACTGACTAAAGGGAGGGAAAAATCTTGCAGAGATCTTCATAATAGCAGCATTAGCTCTTATTTACTTATGAATCCAAGCACCTGCAATTAAATTATGGCAGACTCCTTCATGACTCAGCTAAAAGGAAAGGAGAGGCAGTGATTCCTCAGTATCCTTCTCCCTCTGCTCCACTACAGAAACCAACCATGGCTTTTGAATTTGCACTGGAGAGAAAAAAACCTGCACACGCTTGAACAGTCATGACAATACATATACTGCAAGTTTCTTGGAGGTTATTTTTTGAAGAGAGCAAACACAGTGGTACATTCTGCAATGTATCACTGTATTTTTCAATTGGAAGTAATTTTCTGTCCTTAATCACAGAAGTATGAGCTGTTCAGCGTACATGAGTGGTGAAGCACATTTTTAAGCTTTAAAGCTGACGTCTGTGTTTTAAGTTAAAAACATGTTCCAAAATGTAATTTCGCAATAACCAGCAAAAAAAAAAATAATTTAAGAACAAATCTTTAATTAAGCCAACCTGGATAACTGGTGTCAGAATGAAAATCCCTTCATTGGGGCAAAACTGATTAATGAGGGAGGGCAAACTCCCTGCCAAGAGTGATTTCTTTACCATGGAACTTCCCAACAGAACAGATCTCCATTTCAATCATTCAAGTAACAATACACAGCTATTTTTCTTCACTTATTAATACAATAATGAGCTCCATACAATTCTCCCCAACGGGCAATATATGCATAATTTATAGGGAGAAGCCAGGGAATAAGTTCACTGAAAAGAAGAGCCTGAACACAACATGGAAATACAGTGATGAGGGCACATATAAAAACACAAAGCAATTCCCACTGGTGTTACTTGACAGGGGTAATAGGCAGAGGTCAGGGGCTGCTGCCTGCCTTTCTTTTTAGCTTTATCATATCCCAGGTGTGAGCCTCAAAGGGCATCTCAGGTTATTTTAGCAAATCAGAGAGGCCACGGGGGAGCTCGTGCGGTTGAGTAAGTCGGGGATGACAGACAGACAAACCACCAGTTCAGCTCAGCTTAAATCTTCGTGACAGCTACAGTTACCCCAAAGACAGGATCTGAATAAGAACAAAAAAAAAAAGGCTTTTCTTACCAATTCCTTTTCTTCTGTATTTGGAATCCACTGCTAACATGGCTATATAACCTCTGCGGAACATCTTTTTGTGCATATCCAGCTTGCAGACGATGGCACCTACACACTCCTCCCCTACCATGGCCTTAAAGACAAACACACATTCTCAGTTTGGGATCTCCAGTGCCACCAAAAGCAGTAAAAACCAAAGTTCATTTTTTTTTAAGTGAAACAGCCACAAAAAACTCATTTCTATAAAAAGGCTACGAAAAGATAGCGAAATAAACTTTAGAAATATCTCAAAAAATATTAATATCACTAAAAGACTCCTATTTCTTTATTACATTCCAATAAACTTAAAATTAACAACCAGTGAATTGTCCTGGAGAGAACCACATTATTATTTCACAAAGTCTACAGGTAAGAACATGTGTGATTGAAAGGGGAAATAAATAAAATAAAACACCAGGTTAAGGCATAAATCACCCTTTCACACGGGCTTCTGCAGAGGGGAAAAAAAGTCCATTCCTATTTTATACAGATCTGAATTTTCCTGTACAAGGGCTGTGGTAGATAACATGCTTAATTTTTGTCTGGTTTTAATGCCAAGGCCACAAAGGATCAGGGAAAAGTGTTGCTGCATTTAATCTTCGGAAAGGGTAGTTTTCAGTCATATGACACCAGAGAACAAACAAAAAAAGCACAGTTAATTTCACACACTTTTAACTATTCAGAGCTTTCATTTGTTAAGAGCTGTGCACTGGCAGTTAATCCCAATGGCATTGTCACAGGATCTGTGGTCAAGGAGATGTAGTCACTCTGAAATATTAAGAAAAACCCCAAAAAGAAAAGAACCCAAACACTTATCCAAGCACTTGCCCTGTGTTCAGCAGAATTTTACCATGAAACAGAAAAAGAAAAACTGAGTCATATGTTAAGTGGAGGATTAGGCAGCATGAGGGATTAATGACATTATAACCTGCAGCAGTAACACTGAGCAATGCTCAGAGCAGGAAGGTATCCAAGGGGAGGAGGAATTCCTGGGCACTCAAGAAAGATGGGCAGACATAAAAAGAAACTCCTGACTGGTGGCTAAGTGGATGCACAGACAGATCTGTGTCTGCAGGGGGAACCAGCCTTGGGCTCAAGTGCAGCAGCTAAACCGGGACTACAGCACATGATTGGCACAAGCAAGTGCTGGCAGAGAGTCTGGACAATCCAAGTTTACAAGTGTAAGACATGCCAAATAAGAAACACTTGCTAGAGCCAGTGTTGCCAGGGCTCAGAGCAGCCCACCTGTGAACCCAGAGCTCCTAAGTCTAAGTATAAAGTGTATAGTCTCCAAACACCTGAAGCTTTTTGGACACAGCTTGTGGGCTGAAACTCCCACAAACAAACAGAAGGCTCCTTCATGCAGGTTGTCCTGCAGGCTCACACACACAGGCTCTTCACCCTAAAAAGAATAATGTCTTGGAGCATCTCCACCTGGATGGTGGGTTATTAACCACGTTATCAACCAGGAACTGTATCAAAGGTGAAATGAAGCAGCCCCAAATGTACAAGCTGCAGTTCCAAAGCCCTATGATACAGCACGGTCTTAACTCCATTTCTAATAGAGTTGAAGCAAATATAATTATTGCTAAGTTTTTATTTGGCAGGAAAACACGTTTTTAGCAGTATCCAAGAACAACCCTGAGCAATCTAACAAGCGATTTTTTAAAACAACAAACAAAAGCTGTAGCATGATCTAACTGGACTGAAATACCCTAAGCAGCCCTTCATTTGTTCCAAAACACAGTTTATTCCATAGAAAAGAGAAGCTGTACTTATCCTAGACCTGTGTATGCAAAGTTTCAGCTCAAGGCAAGTTCTGTATCTTGGTTCAGACCTGAGAAAACCAGGGAGTTAAATAAAGAGTATCTTCAGCCAGACTGCTCAGAACATTGCTATAATTATGCAGAGTACCTAGATGTAATCTTATACCTCACCAACAAAAAAAAAAAATAAAAAAGCACACCACAAACCAGCATGTTATAGTTATGCTTTGCCCTCAAGTGAACACGTGCAAACTGTTGATCCTGACAGTTATGTGGAGAATTTTTAAGAATTTTTTTTTTCTTTTTACACACTTCAAGAGCAGTGACAATCTGGACACTCTGCATATCTGTGTTCTTGCTTGTTTAGGGCACTTTTCAGGAACGTTCTGTTCATGAATCATATATTTAAAATGCTAAATGAACAGCAAAGAACTTTGGTTTAGTAATCAAAGAAGCAAATACCCACTGGTTTTACCACTGCTGCCAGAGAGCTGAATAAAGAATGACTTTGTTACCAGTTCCCCAAACACTTCAATCTATTTCTCTGTCTTCAGGCAGGTAAATCTGGCAGTAAATCTATGGCTGTTCCACCCACAGAGGGAGTGCTGCATTTCCACCTCAATTTGAGGGGATTTTTTGTTGCCTTCTCTCTCCTTTCTCCTTCTCTCCAACCTTCTGGAGAGCTGGAAATGAACCTCAACTGTGATGTGAAGCTTTGTAATTAATTTCCTGAGGAAAGTTAAACTGTGTAAATAAAAAAAAAACCAGACTGAAATAGGGAGAGTGAGAAGGAGAGAAAAAAAGTAGCTCCCACACAACACCATTTATGAAGAGATAACCATGGGCCAAATTTTCTTTTCACGTATGAGAGGAGTTCTAAATGTAAAAGTTCCTACAAACAGCACTGAGCCCAAGTCATTATTATATATCATAAAACCCACAGAGTACTATAAGATCTACTTCAATCCTAAATTATTAGTAGCAGGATTAACATACATGAATCCAAATCCAGTATTTGCATCAACTTTGTGCCTATGAATAAGTTTAAGTGTTTAAAACAAACTAGATTTTAATATACTGGAAGAGTTAGTACAGAAAGGTCTGTAAATCAGCAAGAACATAACTTGTCACAAAATCAATCCATTTGTACTAATTTCATTAGCAAAGATGACATTAAGTCTTTCAAACTCAGAGCATGCATTTAATACCCAGATCCTGGGACTTCTGTTCCTATTTAAAGAAGATTAAAACAAGCAACTGGCCCCAAATGGGAAGTATTTTAAATACTTTACGACTCAAACACAGTAGAACCTGCACTACTGCACCACATTTTCCTTTCACACCTGCACCAAAATCCAGCCCAAAGTATCCCAGACACAGCTCTGTAAGAACTGGCTTACATTTAGGGATCATGTTACTGAATGCCATTAGAGGATACACTCAGGCTAATGGATTTAACCTCATGTCTGGCACTTCAGGCAGAGCTCTTCCCGACACTGGGCAAATCACTCCATCCCTCTGCTCCCACTCTACAAAACTGGACACCAGTAATTCCCTCCTCCCATGCAAGGAACTCCTTCTCCCACTGCTGGAATAACCACACTGGCTCCTGTTCCCTGCTCAGGGGCTGCAGTGACTGGAGTTTTCACAAAGCCACCGACAGCCTGTATCCTAAACCATGATCACGTCTAAAACCAAACTGGAATACAGAGTTTGCAAACTGGGAATGAATCCTATAAAACTTCTTCCTACATCTGCCACGTCTGACTTCTCAGACGTCCTCCCAACTTTTCCAGTTTTCCTTTCATGCCCCAGGTTTTCCACGGCTGAAAAACAGGGATGGTGTCTTACCAGTCTTAATTTCAACACTAAGAACACACTGGGGCTCTCAAATAAAATCCAATTTAAAGAAAAAAAATGCAAAGCATTAACATAAAACAAGATCTTAACTGCAGTCATTTAGGATTTGCAACACATCTAAAACCACTTACATGGAATTAATAGGCTATTTTTAAACTTGTGAAAGTTTAAATTATAAATGCTGCTATAGCTGGTGGTAAAGCTAAGAATCCAATAAAAGCACAGATTTTCCAGATTTTTCTTAAAAGGCAGCTGAATGGTGCAGTGAATTACAGGAGAGGTTACAGCACTCAGCCAGAGCTCAGCTTTTATTACATCCTGCCTTATCCAAACTTTGGCAGAGAGCAAGGTTTCCTAAGCTCACCTCTCCCACGCAGAAGGATTTGGAGAACAATTTTCTGAAATATTTAATATATCAGTTTTAAATACAGGTTTGAGAACTTTCACACTGCTAAGACTAGAAGCTGCAAAATAAACCCACTTTAAAAGGAAGCTACAACTTTGAAAGTGCATTTACAGTCATTGGGGGGGACAAAGATGTGGTGACAGTTAAAAACACCCCAAGTGAAACACAGGATCCCCCTTTCCCCTGTCAGTTTTTGGCAGAGGAGTGGTTATCACAGGTCATTTGAAGAGAAACTGGGCTGACAGAGCTCCTGGGAATAAGTAAAAAGCAGGTATTTTCAGAGCATCCACACCTAACAGACAGTGCTAACCTGCTCTCCCAAAGACAGGTGAAACCTGAGTTTAAAAAGAGTTGGAGGTTCACGGAATCACAGAATGGTTTGGGATGGGAGAGGCCTTAAAGACCACCTAGTTCCAAACCCCTGCCATGGACAGGGACACCTTCCACTAGAAATTTATAGAAGAGGAAGTTATTAACTTGCAACAGCTCAGTTGCTGCAGTGCAAGCCCTGAAGTCAAGAAAAGTTACACAGGCAAATCTGACATGAAAATTAACAGGGTTTTAAGATTCCCAGTATCTCCACGTCCTTTTAAAGTGGAATGTGAACTTCTTTGAGTGTACAGCTAGGAAGTGGTTTGATCCAGCACACTGGTGACCAATTAGCATTGGTCCTGTGGCTTCCCCCCAGCTGTGCATCCTCACCTCTTCTCTTGCACCAGGGCCTGGGACATCCTACATGAATATATTTGGAGCTCTAAAGCCAGAGAACGTGACCCTAAAACATATATAAACATACACACTTATAAAAATATTGTGGTGGGAGGGCTATCTTGGCTTCCCAAATCAGAGAAACACAAGGGCTAGCACAAGCCAGGAAGAGGGAGTTGAACAGAAAGGAAAACATGTGGCACTTTGGGTTGCACCAGCCACTAAAGCAATATTGCAACTTGCTGAGTTTTGGCTTGGCCTTTAGAAGTTTCCAACCCAGGAGATAAAAATCATCAGGAATAAAGTTAATAATGCCCCCAGAAAACAGGTTTGCATTGTCACGATAGGAAAATGATGGTTCACTGCATAAAACATCAGCAAGGGCCAAACGCTGATTATTTCTGGAAAACACACATCCCATCTTCAATCTCAGTGGATTTGTACTTTCCCCTCACAGGGAGGGAAAAGGAAAGGTGCCCATGGAGCACAATGAAGACAGGTGAGGATGTACTGGGAGATTTTAAAAATGGTGACGGTGAAATTCAGCGAAGGAATTGACTGAACCCTTACAGATCTTTTTTCAAATACAATCACATCACAGGCCAAGCCCTTTTCCCAAGACAATCAAAACCCAACCAAAACCTGAAGCCAGAAGAGAGTGAGGCCACAAGGCACTAAAGACAAATGATTCTGTGAGATCAGGCACTAAGCTTCTCGTTCACCATCCTGACACTCCTCCTGGTAACTGGAATATGCAGTCCCTGACTGAAGATAAATATTTTAAAGGGACTTAGCAGTAGTTCAGGAATCCATTAACTGCAGGGACAAGTTAAATATTATAGAAGATAAAGTCTTCAAGAAAACCTCTAAAAAACAGACCTTAAAAACACTAAAACCAGTCACAAAAATCCTCCATGAAACTTGACTCAGCAAACTGCAAGACTTTCCAATTATTAAGCAGATGACAATTTGCAAGCTTTAGACACTCACAGCCATATATTCTTCTCTACAGTTTTATGTACTTTACATTGTGCCCATCTTTCTAAAAAGAATGGCAAACACACTGAGTTCAGGAAAAGTTTTGTTGACTCTTTGAGGCTGTCAAAAAGATGAAACTGTCACTACAAAACAAGCTGAAGACACTTTCTCTTCCTTGAGTGATATCTCATTCTTTGAATGCACTTATTAGAAATCATCTGTTTTAGTGCTCTGTCAAACAACTTGTCATTGCTCTTTTCATAACAAAATTCTTCAGTTATTCCCTGACAAAAAAAACCCCACAGTGATTTAAAATCTAAACAAGTGCACTGTGATCTCAGAGTATCCAACATTGCCAGTGATACACTTGATGCTCCAAGTGTGGACTTTTGCAGCTCAGGAGCATTTTTTTCTCAGTATGAGGTAAATCAGTCACACACAGAGCTCAGTGCTTGAAAAGCACCACTGTGCTCTGCTCAGCATCCTTGTAATGGCAAACATGACTTTGCATCCAACAATGCTCTCCAATATTTTCATATTCTGTTGTGTTCCAGAAGGTAACGCTTCGCTCAACTTCCTATAAAGCCTACTGTGTTCCCTCTGCAGGGTTTTAAGAAGCACAACTCTGAAAATCCTCCTATAAATCATACAAATCCTCCTGTAAATTATACCAGATCCTAAACCAAGAACATTCAGGAAGTTTAGGGCCAGATGGGCTCCATTAACCTCACCTCCTGTACTCGCTCTATCAAAATTTCAGAGATACCCCTGAACTGGAGGGTGTCCTGGCCCTGGGTAAACCAGACCTTTCAGAGAGGTGTCCAGCCTTGATTAAAACATCAAGGGCTAAGAATTCATCATTTACCTCAGCAAGGAAGTGCCACACACTCCCCAAAACGTTCTGTTGTGCAGATGTAAGTGTTCCTATGGGTAAATCAAACACTGCTAAGCTCCTGCTATGCCCAGACACCCCTCAGGCCAACTTATACTCACTTTCTTACCCTTGTGGATGAATTATCATCCTTAAAGCAGCTGAGACACAAGAAGTGCTAAACACTTCGGAAGGCAGAGGGAGGGGCAGCTAAAACAACCTTTCAGTAGTGCAGCAGGAAGAATGTAAAACTAAATAGATTGTTAGTACAGGGAGACAATCTGAGCAACACGAGGATTTCTGGGAGCACTATCACACCTGTGAAAGCAACACAGCTGGACTTGTCTTCGTCAAAGTAAGCTCACAGATCAAAAAGTCTGCTAAGCCTTTCACAGTTCCTCTCCACCTACCACTTACCATTTATGTGCCAGCCCTGCTTTAGTCAGTTTTAAAGCCATTGTGCAAGAATCACTAAGCAGTTGTTGTAAGGCATTAGTGGACTAAGTACTTTCTTTTTCAAATCCAAACCCAGGAACTGAGAGAGAATAATAAAATGAGCTACCAAAGGTCACAAAAGTCAATGTCAAAACCCCGATTAGACGCCTTGGATTTCTGGATCTCAGCCCTGTGCTCAAACCCTTTCCTCACCACTTAAAACACGTGTTAACAAATGCAGGAACTTGGGGCATTGCTTTACTTACACATGCACAGGTCACCAGGGGACAGGTACTTCCACAACAGCTCGGTTTTACCCACAAAGAGATTATTTAAAGTATTTCCACAAACCCTTCCATCCTCTCCTCCCCAGCCCCAAACCACTCCCAACTCCTGCCCTCCCTGCCACCCCCCACCTCCCCTCGGGCACTTACCAAAAAGCAAAGTTGTGGCCAGTTGTGGATAAAATACCTATAAGTGTAAATGGAGTAGGGTTCAGACAGATCTTTGGTGATCAGTCTCATGATATCGGGCATCTGCAGCTCTGACTCGTACTGGACGTATCGTATCGTTAGGTCCTCCTCGGGCTGACAGTCCGTTCCCGAGCCTTTCAAACTGCAGGCAGCCGCTAAGGACCCGGAGAGAAGCTGCAGGGACTCCTCCTCCTCCTCCCCTCCTTCATCCCCCTCCTCCTGCTCTTCCTCCTCCAAGCCAGTCTCTCCCGCCAGCCCATTGCGGGCCGCAGTCTTAGCAGCAGCAGCAGCGGTCGCGGTGGTGGCAGCAGGCTGGCTCCTGTCCCCTTTTCCAGGGGGGGAAGCAGCAGGAGGAGGAGAGGGTGCAGTCCTTCCCTGGGGAGGGAGGTGGTTGGCGTGGGGGGCCGAGCAGGGCGCCGCGGCGGGGGCGGCGGCGGGGGGCGGCTGCTGCTGCTGTCCCGAGCCCATTGTTTTGCTGGCTCGCTTGTTCTCCAGCCCCTCGGGGGCCGCCGCGGCCTCCGCGCCCAGGATCTTGCCCTTGAGGGAGGCCCGCAGGTGCCGCAGCTCGGGGCTGATGAGGCCGTTGAGCTGGTGGTTGTGGTGCGGGGGGTGGTGGTGGCGGTGGTGGTGCCGGTGCTGCGGGGCCCCCTTGTCGCCGCTTCCTCCTCCTCCTCCTCCTCCTCGCTGCTGCTCCCGCTCCCGGCCGCCCGCGGGTCCCTCCTCTTCCTCCTCCTCCTCCTCCTCCTCTTCGGCCTCCTCGTCCTGGGCGCCGGTGCAGGCGGCGGCGGCGGCGGCATAGGAGGCGGCGGCGGCAGCGGAGGAGGAGGAGGAAGCGGCCCCCCCTCCTCCTCCTCCCGCGGGGAAGGGGGAGAGCGTGTCCCCCTGCGGGGACAGGACGCTGCTAGGCCCCGGCGGAACCTCGGCCATGTCCTACGGGAGAGACCGACACAAACTCACCGGGGAGGAGGAGGGGGCGGCGGCGGGGGGCGCCAGGCCGAGCAGGGGAGACGGGGAATGGGGGATAGGGGGGGGCGCGGCGGCCTCACGGGCCGCTCTCGGGGGGGTGCGCGGGGCGGGGGGGGGGGGGGGGGGGGCGCGAACAAAGGCACGCGCGGTGCCCGGGCCGCGCCTCGCCGCCCCGCCGCAGCCTGTGCGGGCCGCCCCGGTGCCCCCAGGGGCTCGGGCGGGGCCCGTCCCGGCTCCGGGCCGGGGTCCCCCCGCCGCCCCACTCACCGCCCGCCCGGGCCGCTCCCGCTCCGCCGCCGCCAAGCGCGGCCGTAAAACACCCGCCGACAGCGCCGGCCGGCCCCGCGCGCGCGACGCTTCCGCGCTTGGCGGCGGCGCCTGGTGACGGAGGGGCGGGGCCGCCGCGGTCGGGCGGGGCCGTGTGCAGAGAGCCCTCAGAGGGCGCGGGGAGGGGAGGGGAGTGTAAATACAGGGGGACCGGGATAGATGGTAAGGGATACAGGGACAGAGGGATACGGGCATATGGAGTTAGAGGGATACGGGCATATAGAGTTAGAGGGATACGGGCATACGGAGTTAGAGGGATACGGGCATAC